TTTTTGCCCCCCCCCTGTATATAAAGTCATAAATGAAATGTGCAGTTTTCCACGCTACACTAAGAACACGAAATGAATTTAGTCAAACTAGCACAGACAAAAATATCTGAATTTAAAATGCTTCCCTAAAATTCTTCTATGTCTTGCTTTTTAACAAATTAACTAAATTTACTTTATTTAATTTTTGATATTTACTGGCGTGTTTTGTATTTCCTGTTTTGTTTCTTTACTGTTTTTAATCCCCTTTTTTAACACGTGTTTATGTGATAAAGTTCATTATTCATATGATCGATACTGAGTCTGAGAGGAAGAGGTCAGCAGACAACTCAGTGCAATTAACAAGGTCTTCCCACAGGCAGGTGAGTGTAGGTGCGAGGTGGTATCCCATAATTGCACTTTAGACTAAAGGTGCACACCCAGAGTGAATCATGTACAGTGGATCGAGAGAGCGTGCCCTCGCCTACCTGCTGGTGGATACTCTGTGTTGTTTGACGTTTGAAAGATCTAATCGGAAGTGATAAAGAAGAAAGCTCTAGAAAAATTGAGTGATAGCCACGGAAGGCAGCGTGTAAAATGGGCTGACTAATTGCTCAGGTAGGATAATGTGGGTGCTACTCGCAAAACATGTTTCACGCCTTTACATTTTTCTTGGAATTTTTATAGCAATATGTGAAGAGCGAGTCGCTGATTGTGAGACACCAATTATTTCGAAACCTTCCTTAACGCCTTTGACTACTAGTGGTACACATATGTACCAGTTCCATAGTCAAAAGCGTTGCCACAGATTTGGGACTTATTGAGCTGGAGTGGCTGCTCGAAGGCGGAATTGCGTGCATAAACGTTATAATTCTCACTCTGAAAACAAATCGTCGCAAGCCAAAGCGGGTTAGTCTGGATAAGTTAACGAAGCAAATTGTACCGCATGTCTCTGGTCAGTGTACATAGCTCCCAAAAACGTTCCGGCTCACACACTCTTAGTAGTTATGCTAGTGGTTTTGGTGTCTTCCTACGTCACTACAACATCAGGTACAACATACGTCAACGAACTATGAAAGAAGGGGCATTTCATCAGCGAAGCCAGTCAGAGGACTACGCGGCATTCCACGACAGTGTTGAGATTCCAACCTCCAAGATTCTGACAGTTCGATGGTGCGGAAATCAAATCAGAAGACTAATATGACGGCTTTTGGAGAAGAAGACGACGAGATCTCGTCAGAGCAGAGGCACCGATTAGACCCACAACGCTGTTTAGAGGCGGCTTGCAATACTTCCCAGGTGTAGCGCTGAACATTGGCTTTGTTCCACGAATGAGATATGCGAAGTACCCTCGCCTTCAAATAACCAGAAATTGTGCAATTGCAGAAATTGACGTGGCATTAACGTGGCATCGATTCAAGAACATCTTTGAGCACACGTGACGTCACCTTTTCATCGAGAATTTAGCCACGTGTGCCACGTGGATTTCTGGCTGCATGAAACGGAGTGTATGTATTTTGAATTGATGAAGTTGTCAATTTCCATCTCAAAAATACTCATTCGAACGGTGATGTGTTAGTGAGAGGATGGGAAACTACCGCGCGCATAATCAATGGATCAAAATCCCAGTCAAATCCATCGTCAGTCAAATTTTCATAGCCGAGTAGCTTGATGGTTACTACATAAAACACATCTGTAACTTGTTCTGAAAAAAAGTCATAGTCTAAGGGTTAAGTATACGCAAGACCGTGAAGACTTCCTCCCTGCTTGCCATTTTGTTCTCTTTTGTTGATGTACCTCTCGTTCAAGCTTCTGTTGCTCAATTTACCGTTCCGGTGAATAATCAGTACGAGACGTAAAGTAGTTTTTCGTATATGAGTCTAATGTTTGGTTATACTGCTTTTTAGAACAATTTTTTTCATGAGTCAGCTCATGTAAAAATATTAGGTTGTTGCATTATAAATGTCGCACCAGATTTAGCTTCACCCCACTCGGCTGTGTCCGAACATCCAGAGGTACTTAAGCATTCATTCGAAAGAGGAAATCTAGGAGTATAAAAGCGACTACCTGCTCCCATATCATTTTGGTTTTTTACAGGAATTTTTCTTTTAAAAAATGACTGACCAGAATTTCCGCGTCGTGGATCTTGTACGACATCTTGAGGAAATGAATTTCAGCTCACACGGTCACGCAGGTCTTCGTAAACAAAAATCCGACCTACATCAAACCGTGCATTGGCTCGGCGAGAAAGAAAAACAATGATTTCATAAACTCACTTCACGACGAAAAGCTGCATTTTACGAAAAAAATCACCAGCAAAAAAGTGCGAGACCAGGCTGAAACATTTCACTTCGCCGCCAAACAGCTCTGTCACACTCCATCTATGTGCTGCGCATCCGAGTCAACGCGGCACGTTTTGAAGGAGAAACAGTTCAGAGAGTACAAAAAATTCGGAATCTGGGTGTCCATGTTTACCTGCGCACAGTTGCTACGATTCTTCGAGAAGGACGTCGAGTCTCTGCGTGAGGAATGGCGAAGCCTGGCACAATAAGGTAGTATCCATCTCTTCTTCTGAGATGCCGAATTGTTGCTGTTCCAACAAATTTTGTGGTACGTCCAAAAGCGACATTTATAATGCAACAACCTAGTCCACTCTATATATAAAGCAGAAGTTTGGTGTGTTTGTCTGTCTGTCTGTCTGTTTGTAACCACTAGGCTCGCACGCTACGTAGACCCAAGAAAACAGTTAGGGCATGGTCCCGGATGGGTAGGAAGTTGCCCCTAGGGCGTGTAGGGTGAAGGCAGGGCTTGGTTAGAAAGGGTATGGTAGTGGGCGGAGCCCGGTCAGGTGGGCGGGGCTTACGCTGGAATCTCCGTAGAAAATATAGGTTTTTGTGCAGAGGCCTCGAATTGCTAAGCGAATCACAATATTGATTGGGTAGTGTCGTAGGAGTTGGATTTTAGATGGGTCACATGTTATCGATCGATATCGATTGAAAATATCGGTTTTTGCGCAGAGTGCTCGAATAAGGTTGGGAATCACACTATTGATTGGGGGCTGTAGTAATAAGTGGAAATTCCATCGGGTCACATGCTATCGATCGATATCGATTGAAAATATCGGTTTTTGTCTGGGAGGCTCAGATTTGCTTACTAATCACACTATAGATTGATGGGGTCGCAACAATCAAAATTCATATAGGCTTTTATCAAGTAGGCTTGGAAAGACCTCTAGAAAGCGAATTATGAGGTTTTGTGGCAAACTTCGAGCACTTTGGTATATTTCACACCTCCCCCCCCCCCGTTAACCCTTAATCTTCCCTCCTTTTCAACCTCTGCCACTTTTTTCTCGGTTTCTGGGACTGCTCTGAACCGACTTATGACAGGTTTGCTCTAAACGTTGCCCACTCAAAGACACGTTCCGCCTAATGTGGGCGGGCTTCCACTAAGTTTCAGGTATGTTTAGGAAACCCTAGATATTGTCCTCTTAATTTATTTTACTACGGCTCAATAGGCTTTCTCATACCAGAGTTATGAGTTTTTCTTACTGAGAAACACTCCTTCAGAGAACGCTCCGCCCACAACGGGCGGGTCTCCCAGATTCGACTTTTCAATTCAGTGCACACCTTTATCCATTTTTTCGGTCTTTTGGCTGCACCTATACCCAAACTCAAGACTTCTGCCGTCGGCAGCTCCTAATTCGACGCATGCCCCGCCCACTGTGGGCGGAGTTTCCCATGGTCCATGTCTGCCCCGTGTAGCCTGACTCATTCTCTACCCATCCCAAACTTGACCTGGACTCTGAAGGTGGTTCCTTAGATAGTACCTAATTTTTTCGAAACAATTTTTCGAACAGACACACAGAAGGCTTAGCGCCATCCCTCTATATATAAAGCAGAAGTTTGGTATGTCTGTCTGTCACCGCTAGGGGGATATATAACGCGGTTGAAGCGGGAAATTCTCTACTTCCCTCATTCTGCCCTTCACCCCCAAATACATAGGACCCTCCCGAATAACTCAAATACCACTTCCTCAATTAAGAACGGCGCAACGCACTTTAACCCTGCAACGAGAGTCCCTCCTCTTCAGCCGTATTTCGTGCGCGGTATCGTGCGCAACTATGAATAAGTGCACGTGTGTACTGTCCATATCTCGAAGTCTGATTAGGCGAGTCACCGGAAACGCTCGCGCACTCCATGGAAGTTGCGTGGATAAGCTGCTTCTGGCCTTGGTGATTCCCAGTGAAGTATGTTGGAAACAACTTATCCGCGCGACTTCTATCAAGTGCGGCGGTCGCCACGTCGAAGTCCATAGACCCGTCTAATAGACGGTCAAATATGTATGAAGTGTATTGTATATGATTCAGTGACCGGTTAGCACGCTCCAACTCCGCACACTTTCCTTGATACTGTTCGAAAACAGGTTAAGGTGAGGGGGAAGGGAGAGAAGTCAAAGGAAAGCATATCTTAATTAAACAGCAGATGTTTACTCTTATCTATTTTGCACTTCTTTTATATTGTTTTTGCTACAATTGTCAAAAACCCGTCAGATATGACCCTCTTCGACGCCTTCCAGAACACAAACACCATTCGGCCTTCTGACCTTCGCTAACCTCAGACACGCCCCCTGTCCCTTTCCAAAAATCGCACCTGTCGTTGCGGGAACTGCGCAAAGAACGGTTGACTCTGGCAAGGGACAGAACGCAATCAACCACTCCACCCATACAATCATCGCGCAATGTGGTATTGACTTACTAGCAATTTTTCTAGCATTAGCTTCTCAGCTAGTAATTAGCATTCTTTCATTACTGCTGGACAAATTCGCACAACTACCGTCATTTTTATCTCGATACCTTTTACTCACTTGCAAAATTGAATTGAACTGAATGGTAACGTAGTGAAGGCGAAGTATGGGGAACATAAGCTGCTAAACACTGTGCAGCCACACACTCAATATTCATTGTTGCACCTAAACTTTTACCCTCGACACCAAACATAGCTTACAAATTGTATATAATTGATTACCTTGCCAGATATGTGCATTCGCTTGAGCATACGCGCAGCAATGCCAACGCTGCTACATCCGTAATGCCTCGGTCGCGTTTTGCCTGGAAATGCAATCACAAATAAACTCATTGATCGCACAACTTCAAAAAAAGAAATTAAAAAAAGAATCATTATACTGCCTAAGTGGAGGAGGGGGCTACGAGGAGAAATGCTGGGTGTGTTTGACCCTTCGCATACCGACCCTGTTTTCTCCCCCCCCTTCCCTCCCCCCCTCCTTCAGAGTTCGCCAGCGTCAAATGTCGAATTATGTACTTGTGTCGCGAAATGTAATAATGGTTATTTAAGAAAACTGGAAATTTTTACATTGCGAGAAACTTTCCTACGCGGGGAGGCTGGCGCTTGGGTCTGTGTTCACTAATGAAAACGAATACTACAATCACCTTCCAAAAATAAATAGTACATTTGTCACTTGAGTTACTTCGTGCAGTCAATATGTTCAGTTTGCAGTGGTCTGAGCTTCAGTTAGTGAGTACAAACTGATGCCCTTTAGAAGAGAGGGACTAGGAAGGTAGGGAGGTGCATGCGTCGCCGTGAATAAGTAGCCCTCGAAGCAGTTCGCTAGACTTTCTCCTACGCAACATGTGTGCAACAATATATCATCCAACAACGAAACATCATAATTAATAGCTCATACTCAAAAAGAAAACCAAGCACTGCATTTAGAACCAATCTCCCCATGACGTAAAGAGTTCAAACCGCAGATTGATTCAGTTCTGCAAGCTTTATGAATTAGTTGGCATTGATATTTTGTGGAAATTGCCTGCTTCACGCAGATAGGATGAGAGCGACGTTGTACCTCCGATGATGATCTCATCTAGGCAAGACTCAACTTACTAGGCCGAATAGTCCGAAGCTACTGAAAACCACCGAGCGCTTTTAGCCGGGCTAGAGCTGCTTACGTTTCAATTCATAGATTCTCATGGATTGGATTTTTCACAGAGACGGTGTGGTACTGCCGACAAGAGACACGCGTAGAGGAAATTTTTGCTCTTTTGCCCTGCCTTCAAAAGCTAGTACGACCTCCCGGTCAAGGACGCCTCACCTTCGCCCAGGCCCTATTCCCATGTCCCTCCGTCTTACCCCAAACCACAGCTGACTTTTCCCAAAAAAAAAATTCCAACGAGCAAGGGTGGGATGAGCGTATGTATTATAAATTCCCTCTGAACCGAAAAACAAAATTCCCACACAATTCACGAAACTTGAGATGTTTCTGAAAATTTCCAATATTCCCGAAGAACACTAAAAAAAGGAACACTGCTTACTCTTCCGGAATTCGTTGCCAGTCTCACCAGATGCCAGTCTATCTTCCTCCCTCAGAGAGCCAAAGACTATCACGACACCGGAATCCTCAATAGGGTGTTTGCTCATCCTGCTGTCAAAAACAACGTGCCTGGAACATATAAAAATGAGGCGCTATCGCATAGTGCGGGACAACCCCCGAGACTAAACCTACGAGGGGGGCAGGAACTATGTATGAGGAAAATAAAAATTGTTCACGCACTTAGAGGCCTTCTTCCCCGTGTGAAGCCTAGTCCTGTTTCAAAAAGTATATGTTTGATGCGGTTTGATATGCATTGCCTTCACAATGCCCCGTATCTTGCGATAGCGCCGAAAATAAAGTCGAAACTCGAATCTGCTCAGACATCCCTTGAAAAGAGGAGGTAAACGGACTAGCGTGTCCAGTTAACTTTTCAATATCTGTAGCGACGCTGTTGAGTCATGCATACAGTATGACACAATTTCTGCCATTTTTAAATTACGATGCCTCTCTGTGTCGAACTGAGATTGGCTCACAGTCTAAAGCTTGTAGCCACAGCTGCACATGTTTGGTTGCAAGGTGCGAGGCTCCGGATTACTCAACACCTCCGCAACGTTACAAAAACTTAGAGGATTTTGTATGGCTACATTTATGAATCGTACACTGTAGCCTCACTAACTCTCGCTGTCCGATTTTCAAGGAATATTGGTAATTGCAGTAGGCGCTACATTAATCGCCTTTGTCGTGTCATTGCGATAATATTAGGTGGGGAGTGGGTTTAAAGCAACAGTCCAGGCAGGGTTTCAACTACTTGGTCATTAGGCGGTCAAAACATGCCCCAGCCCAACTAAAGTTTATAGGAAATGTCTTTAATTTCAAAACCTACCTCTAAAATGCGCTGGAAGGGGTCGAAGTCCTCTTGGAGGGGGCGGATCACCCATAAAGAGGCGGATCGCCCAACATTCGCTGTGCAGAGCGCTTGCTCGACTAGCGGTCGTTGCGGGACCGCCGCGCTGTATGAGGTCGATTCCATAAGAACGCAATTGAAGCGCTTCAATTTCGATTGCTGGCAAATAGTTATGTATTTGCAAGCATGCATGGCTATTTGCCAGCAGTCAACTGGAGCGCATGTACTACGGGCAGGTTCGGACAACTCGTCCAACACACATCTCCCTAAACGGCAGGGGGAGTCCCTGTCTAAGCCCCTGCCCGACGTTTTTTTCTACTTTTTCTTTCTCCATTGACCAACTTCTCACCTGCAACGTCATTATAGGTGGTCCTTACCCGCGAATTCGTTCCTGGATTGTTGCTTTAAGAAGAACGCGACTTTTTCGCTCTTCGCAACGCGACATCGCGCGGCAGGCTGGCGCACCCGCAGCGAAAACAACTACGGTATATAAGAACGCGCGATTGGAGCGCGATATTTGTGTCGGCTTTGATTGCGACAAGGAGTTTGAAGCTTAATAGCCATGGATTTGATAATGAACGAGGAAATGGTAACCAGAAGTGGACCGCTAACTAGCAGTGAAGAGGGAGGTAGGTTATTTTTGCAGAGATGGATGGTAGAGCTTCTGGAGAACCTGGAAGAGGAATGGTTGATGGACGTTTGATGAGACGACTGTAAACTTCTGCATAGGGGTTATTTGGGGCCCTGATCATGAATATGACACTCATTTTTCACATTCGTGCTGTTTAACGCATACTTTCTGCTTTTCTAAGCTTTCTCACCTACAGCGCCTACGACTAAGCTTAGGGGAGGGGAGTGAAACTCCGGAGTGGGTAAACCACGCACCGTGTGGCAAAAGTTGGAGTGTGTCAGACCACAGGGGAATGGCCTACCCACTTTGGAGCCCTACACTACTCAAAAGGCTTAGTCCTATTGCGATCTAATTAGTGCGAGGGCGCAGACGAGCAGGAAGCAGGCGCCGAATAGCGCTAACAACAAATCAGGACCCCGAATAACCCCTATACAGAAGTTTACAGCGAATTTAGTGGGAATCAGTTGTGGCGCCACCCGGCCCCAAATGGCGCCAGCGTCAAAAATGAGTATCATATCCGTGAATGAGGACAGAAGCGTTCCGTAAAAGATGTTATACCCTTATGCAGATGTCTATACAACAATATGAACCCACAAAATGCAAGCACAAGCGACACTATTAAACCCTCGTTCACCCGTATAATTTCGTAAAACACCATTTAGTGGCATCGCCCGGAATCGTGTAAGTCACAAAACGTTTTCAATAATGAGACAGAATTAGTGATTCACCGCATTTATCAATACAATGGGTGTGAGCGCGGGCAAGTAAGGAATCAGAAACTTACAAATTCACGCATGCAAAAAAGCTGCTCCAATCGCGCGTTCTTCCATACCGTAGTTGTTTTCGCTGCGGGTGCGCCAGCCTGCCGCGCGATGTCGCGTTGCGAAGAGCGAAAAAGTCGCGTTCTGTCCTAAGTACCCACACCCTATTAGGTGCAGCTCGGTGACAAAAGATATAGGGAAGAATCTCACATCTTTAATGTGCAAACTTCCTTCACAAGACAGACATGAGATTTGAAAGTGACATTAAGGTACCAATTGTAATAATTAGCTGTGTCATTACGCTTGTGGAAATATAAAAGTAGTAGTCTTCCTACCGCAGTATGCATTTCTCTTGTGCGGCAACGACTTCCCAACTTAGACGGTTTTCGGCCGAAATCGCTTAATTCCTATGATTTTCTGTGAATACAGTTCATTTCTGCAGATCTAGTGAGCAACAAAAATTGCACAGCGCCGCATATTACATGTTTAGAGCGTGGAGCTCTGGGTGTTCCCTCAACCATTCATCCCACACTGGCTGTCTATACTGGCCAGTTTTTCGAGTCAGTACCGGTCAACGCCATATTGGGGACCTGACGTGCCCCAGGTACTTCATTGTGGTTATCACCGTCCTGCAGTTAGGGGATAGAGCTGCAGTGATTATGACTCCTCAGCATCCGAAGTTTTGTCGACTAGTCTCTTGACATTGCAGTGCCAATGACTGATGTAACTTCACAGCAAATTGGTGGCAATGCGATAGTAAACGAAAGCGCACCACAGCACGTTTCTGGCCAATGATGATAGTAGAAGCAATCGCAAAATTTGCAAAATGCAGCTACTTGAGAACCTACCGAATCCACTATCTTATTATAAAATACGCAAAACATTGACAGTTGCTTATGTGAGTAACCCTTATGGAACTCACCTTATACAGTGGGAAGTCCTGCAAGAAGAAAAGTAGTTTTGAAGAAAAGGGATATAGTGAAGTGGGTGCTAACTTAGTTGGGGGGGCCACGCGGCGGCGCGGCAGTCTGCTCACCTGGGCTCTCTCGAGCGAGACAGTGTAAACTCGAACATTCCAGCTTTTCACGCATGTCAAGTGACTGCCCTCACCCCCACCCCCTAGACTGCCTACACTCCCCCTGGCCCACGGATTTCCGAAGTACGCATGCCAGGCGAGCAGACTGCCGCGCCGCCGCGTGGTCCCCCCCCCAACTAAGTTAGCACCGTGAAGTGGATTAATTACCCAACAGACTCACTTGTTCAAACTGTCACCGTAGACCGAAAGCGGATGCGGTGCGGCGCGAACGGTATGCGGTAGACCAGAAGAATCGATACGTAGCTTACCTTGTGGCATTCTTCAAACACATTTTAGCGCAGCAACATACCTATCTGAAGTAAATATTCATGAAGAGCCTAAAAAACAGATGAAAAACGTCATTCCACACGAGATGATAGCAATTGCGGAAGCCGTCTGACAATATGCGCGCACTGGGCGCACGCATAGTCGGTCGTCCGACAGCAACGATCGCAATTGTCTGACTCTAAC